ATACGCTTAATGTATAAGCTGAGTACGCCCCGGGTACTCAGCAGTGGGCTGCGGTTATTGGGCTCTTCGGTATTGGACTCTAGTTTGGACTCTAGGAGTTTAAGGCTGTATTTTGGGCAACCAGAATATCGTTTTGGGCCAAGGATGTTTTGGACTTGTTTTGTGGGCCTTAAGTGTTCGGAGTAGGGTCTTTAGGCCTTAGGGCCCATTATGATGTTTGGGCCAAGATTGACTAAGCCCATTATGGGTAGGGTGAAGAGGGGAACCTTGACCTTAGGTGTTGGATTAGAATTTAGGCCCATAGTCATACCCAATTCTAATTAGGGTATTTTTTCTATGTTCAGTGCGAGATATAACGGATCAGTAGCCGAGCAGTTAGCACTTATCAGCAGACCGAGGTGAGTCTCTTCCTGGTATTATGGGTTGAAGGCACCAAGGCCAGCCCATTATCTGGTTATGCAGTATGCTAGTTTTTGTGTGATACATGTTGTGATCGGGTTGAAACACACCCCATGGTGGGGCCCAATATGACATGACGGATTGAAATATACCCCAGGGCGGGGCCCACTGTGATATGTTCGGGTTGAAATATACCCCAGGGCGGGGCCCGTACTTGCTTTTTGGGTTGGAATGAAGCCCAGAACTCGGCCCATTTATATGATTGGTATGTGGTATTTTGGGAAAACTTACTAAGCGTTAGCTTACAGTTTGTATTGTGATTTCAGGTACTTCCGCTTCTAAGGGGAAGGGCCCGACTTGATGACGAAACATTCACTCTCGACCATTTTCCACATTCACTGTTATTATCAATCTGATGATTTTATATGATGATGATTATGTATTGTATTTTCGAATCAAACTTATGATTGTAAACCTTAATTAAGAATGACACATTTTCTCCTAGTTTCCGGGGTGTTATATTGGTGATCTTTGATTCAAGAACACAATGAAGTTTTGGTTTTGGAGAATGTGAATATAAAAAATCTTTGGTTGTTTCCAACGATTACGGTGGTTTCCGGTGAAGCAGTAGAGAGAGAGAGAGAGAGAGAGAGAGAGAGAGAATGTGTGTGTATGTTAAAATGTTTGGTAGTTGGTAGATTAAAGGTAAATATTACAAACCACAGGGACTATTTGTAACACTCAAAATCTGGAAGTTCTAATGAAGGGAAATACTTTGAATTTTGAAGGTCTACTCGTCGAGTCGAAGGGGGGATAACTCGACGAGTAGGAGCAAGTTTGGGATGCGGGTGGTGGAATCTACTCGACGAGTTGGTTTGGGTTAGGAAACCCTAAATCCGAGTTTTTGTACCCTATTTAAGCATCCTATTCTCCACCTTTCAGCCCCATTTCCAGCCTCCATTATCCAAACCCTAATCCACGAAACCCTAGAGCTTAGTGTGAGATTGTGAACCATTTTGAGTGATCCTTGCGTGTTGTTGAAGCTTGTGGAATAAGGAAGAGCTAAAAGGTTCAATGAGAAGATAGTAGATCCAGAAGCAACATCTCATTTCCTTCATTTTCTGGTAATCAAGCTTCTAACTTTCCTAGTAGTTTCTTAGATCTCCTTATGGTCACTTTTATGGGGTTTTTGTCCAAGAAGCTTGATCTATGGGACATGGACGTCTCAAAGGATTATATTTTCAGATTTGGAACTATCAAGGGCTGTTATGGCTTAAAGGTGCAAACTTTATGCCATTGGAGCCCCCATGCGAGCTAGAGGAGGATATTTTGGACTTTTAAGCCCCAAAAAATCCATGTATGGAAGGAAAGGTAGAAGATTTTCGTGTTTAGGAAGGGTCAAGGGTCCAGATCTATGCTTGTATGTTGTATCTTGGAGTATGGATGGCTTGTGGACCAAGATCTAGGTCCTAAAGAGTTAGGGTTTGAGTGAAATCCATTAAGTGAGGGTATTAATGGGTAAAGTTGGAAACTTTACCCTTCTAAGGTCATTTCCAGAGTGTATTCGAAGTTTGGAGCTTAGATCTGAAGAATAGTTGCTTAATCCATTAAGAAAGGCTTAGCATATTGAAGAACTCGCCGAGTCCAGGGAGGGACTCAACGAGTTGAGTTGGTTTGTCCTGATTCTGTACAGAAGGAACTCGACGAGTCTGAGAAGGGACTCGATGAGTTGGTTCGTGGTTTTGCGACTATGAGTAGCATGGGAACTCGACGAGTCAGGGGGGTGACTCGACGAGTTGAGTCAACTCGGAGCGTTGACTTTGACCATTGACTTTGACTGTGACCAAGGTTGACCTAGTTTGACTTTTGAGGACCCTTGGACAAGAGTATGTGAGGGGTGGAATGGTCTTCTACCCCAGTGAGGACTTATGGTTAAGTTATAAGAAGCCTGGTCTTATCTAAGTTGTATGATGATCGATAGCTCGGGGAGTCGAGAGATCAGCAGTTCGGGGATCTGCCAGCTAGCAACGAGAGGTTTATTCACGGGGTTCTGCAGTCAGCTTACGAGGTGAGTCTCCTCCCTGTGTGTATGGGTCTACGGCCATAATGCCGACCCATGTAGTTTATGTATGGTAGGAAGACCCAGGGTTTAGCCCTAGGCATTATGCATGAAAGACCAGGAGGAGGCTCCTGGCACACAGTATGTTATTATGTATGGTAGGAAGACCCGAGGTTTAGCCCTAGGCAATATGTATGAAAGACCGGGAGGTGGCTCCTAGCACATTGTATGCTCATTAGCTAAGTAGAGTAGTATGTATGCTAGTTGTCTTTGTGATACTTGCATGGAAGACCAGGAGGCGGCTCTTGGCACTTGTCTGTAAGACCCAGGGGGTGGCCCCCGGCTTGGAAAGAAAGACCATGTGGCGGCCCGTGGCATAACAGCAAGACTATGTGCGACACATAGCAACTTATTTGATATATGATTGATATGTATGGCTCACAATATGTATGGCATGTATGGCCCAGTTGATATGTATGGTATGTGGTATTTAGGGGACTCACTAAGCTTCGTGCTTACGGTTTACAGTTTTGGTTTCAGGCACCTTCAGTTTTCAGATAAGGAGCTCGGGACGATCGCATCGCATTCACCCATATTATTCCACATTATGTGATCTTCGGGATTAGACTCTGATATTTATTTTAAATGAAATGCTTTCAATGTTTGGAACAAAGTTATTAAGTGTTTTCTTATATTATAAATGAAATTTTTGGTCATGAATTTTGGGATGTTACACCATTCGTGTAATCTATTCTAAAACCATTTGTAATGATGTGTAATGTTTTCATTGGTTCTAGTATTTGTTGCCCTAATTATGCATTTTCTATGGAATTCTTCCATATATATATATATATATATATATATATATATATATATATGAAAAAGTTCAATAGAGAACCATAATTATTGGTTTTTCAAAGAACCAAATCTTTTTTTCAATTTGTAGAGCTTATTCTTTATCGAAAAAAAAATCTAAAAATATCTAAATTCATATATTAACACTCTGAATGTGAAAAATATTTTTCGGATTCACCGTGTGAATCCGGATTCACATTGTGACTTTTCAAAGATTCACATTGTGAATTTGACGTAAAAAAAATCGAATTTGATATCATTGGAAAAAGGATAAAAAGTTATGAATTTCTGTATTTTTAGTTTTTTTTTTTTGATAAAAAATAAGTTCTAAAAGTTGAAAAAAAAAGATTGGTTCATTGGTTCCTTGGTTAATTATGGTTCTCTATTGAACTTCACCCTATATATACATACATTTTATATAAATAAACTTTAAATAGTTTATTATGATATAAATATAACTTATAAATAATCATACTTTTATGATATATTTCATAAGTTGTTATTTCTCCAATTAATATTATTTCCATAAATAATAAATTCGTAATTAGTAAAATATTATTTTAGTAAAATAATAATTTTATAATTAAATACATGTGTTGATATATTTATTAATAATTAAATTATACTAATAAATAATCAATTGATGGTAACTTGCTATAAGGTGTGACTCTATAGAATTATTTGTTATTAGCAATATCATTCTATAATGACTTTTGGGTACACAAGATCTTTCAACTTTTCGATTATGAGATCCAAATAACCAACATCAAAAGAGTATTTCCAATGGTTAAACTATATTATAACTTAAAAAAATTATTTTCTTATCATCTTTTAATTTTAACCTCTAGTTAAATGGTTATCTTTAAGAGTTAACTTTTTCCAATAGTTTTTTTTTCACTTTTTTTTTTAATTTAACTAATTTATCTTTATCTATCTAAAATGTTCTATAAAATATTTTTATTTAATTAGTCATTTTTTAAACATACATTATATCAAAGATGTTATAATCAAACAAAAATATAAGTACAATTATGCCGGGTCTTTATTTTATATAGATAAAATACAAAAAAAATATTAGGTTATAGTTATAAAAATAAAAAAAGAATTAAAAATGTTATATAATTGATATAAAATTTATATTTCATAATTGAACTATTTAATAAAATAAATAATTAGTTATGAAATAACAAGTATAAAAGGATAAAATAAAATATAAATTAAGGGGGTAAAATAAAATATAATTAAAAAATGAAATGTTAAATATACTAAACATAAAATTATATCGAACACTCAATATATATTGAATGATTAATAAAAATAAGACAAAAATTCAAAAATGGTCACTGTGGTTTTCGAAAATCGGAAGTTTAGTCCCTAATCTTTAAAAACCTCACAGATGGTCCCTGTGGTTTCAAAATTTTTAACAAATGGTTATTTTCGCTAACTCCGTTAGCATTTAACCGTTAAGTGAAAGACATTTCTATCATATCACAACCATATGGACCATTTATGATGTTTTGCCTTATTTTTTTTTAAAAGAAAAAAATATAATTATTTAATATTAAATGGCCACACCCTCTCTCTCTTATTCTCATTCTCTCTCTCTCTCTCTCTGTCCTCTCTCTCTATATATATATATGTATATATATATATATATATATATATATATATATATATATATATACCCTCACTTCTCTCTTCCCTTCTCGTTTTTCTTCACCACCGGCCAAGAAGAGGCTGCCTCCATCCCGACGGTGTAGTAGCCTACCTCACCCTCAGCTCTTCCCTTCGTGATTACGACCAACCCCGACCTCCCATACCACCCTTCGAGCTCACCACCGTCGCGTAGCACCCTCCCTTGGTCATTACTGTCTTCCCTCCGTTCCCACAGTCCTATTGTTGGGTTAAATACCAAGGAAGAAACGAAATCGTTGGAAAAACGGGATCGCCGGTCTCGGCAACAGATCTTCCACACCAAACCTTTTCTGCTTCCTACGTGTTTTTTCCCTTCTCGAATTGATGACGACGATGACCCCATCCCCTGTTAGTTGTAACTTGTGAATACAACCTTGTAAATATGATTTGAGGTTTAACTCAAGTTTTGCATAATGTTGTCGGCGTTCTGTTAGCAACGTAATAAAAAATAGCAGCAGACAGAATATTTCAGAAATCAAAAGAACTGCGATAACTTACCTCATCGGCATCTCCAATCAGATCTTCAATCGGTTCCTTGAATCGAAGTGAAGGTAATCATATCATCAGATTTCTAATCAAGAAAAAGAAACGATTGATTGAATGACCAGTTGCTTCATCAAGTGTAGATTCACAGAGTGGAGTGATCGATCAAAGTGGAAGGAATACAATAAGATATAGGGATCAAATTAATCAGATCTTCCAAATTGAGTGAATTACTCACAAATTCCACAACATGAAATCTCAATTTTCGAGACTAGGATTGAATCGATGATGAGCAGTAGTAGTAGAATATTGATAATGATAGTTGAAGATTTGATTGAAGACTCGCAAATTCCACATCATGAATCTAAATTAAGAGGCAGAATCGAGAAGTCGAGGAAGGAGGCGACACCGTCTGGAGGCAATGCGACAACGGGAGGAAGGAATGAGAGATCTCAGTCACCATTATTTCTTGTGTGGATGACGGAGGCGGCTAAGGAATTCCGGGTGGTGGTGCCTTTTAAGATCTGATCGAGGGTTTAGAGAGAGAGAGAGAGAGAGAGAGAGAGAGGGTGGGGCCATTTAATATTAAATAATTATATTTTTTCCTTTTTTTAAAAAAATAAGGCAAAACATCATAAATGGTCCATGTGGTTGTGAAATGACAGAAATGTCCTTCACTTAACGGTTAAATGCTAACGGAGTTAGCGAAAAGGACCATTTGTTAAAAGTTTTGAAACCACAGAGACCATCTGTGAGGGTTTTAAAGATTAGGGACTAAATTTCAGATTTTCAAAAACCACAGGGACCATTTTTGAAGTTTTGTTTAAAAATAAACAAATAAATTATATGGTTCAATGATTTTAAGATCAAGTAATAATAAACTACAAAATAAAATCATAAACTTATTGAAGATGCTCTGCCCCGACTAAGATACAACTACATTTCAAGTATAAGATATGTATTTTATAAAACCCATAATCGCACTTTACTTTTGATATTTCTCTTATTATAACATCAAATTAAACTATCTATCTGTTATAATAATGAAATTTATCCTGTAATTGAATGATATTGTTATGATAATATTGTTATGATAATATTTTCATAAGATATGATATATAATGGCTCCGTACTTTGCAATAAAATTTACCATGACATCACTTCCAAATCTTTAATTTCAAATGTGAAAAAGATAGGTTAATTAGAAAGATAAAACTTATATAATTTGCAACATGAAATAATGACCTCTCAATTTATTTTCTCCAGTTTTATCTCTTACTTTTCTTTTGTACAGTTTGACCCATCTTTTTAATTTTTTTTAAAGAATTTGGTCCTTAATTTTTACTTTGTGATCTATCACTGTTCATTTTTATAGTTTTGACTAAGAATTTTAATATTATTTACAAATTTGGTTCCTTATTCTTTTTTTTAAATAGTTTTGGCCAACTTTTGTAGTTTTTATTATGACTTTGTTTATTTCATATTCTCTTTATTTATTTATTTATTTTACAGTTTTGGACTATCTTTTTTATTTTTTATTAAGAGTTTGGTCCCTTTACTCTTTTAGTTTTTAGTAAGAAATGGATCATTTTTTGAATTTTTATAAACATATGGACCATTTGTCGTACTTTTATTTTATTTTGTTATTTTTTTTGCACGGGGAATTTTTCTATAAATTACTTACATGGATAGTTTTATAATTTATTTTCTACAAAGAAACCAAATTTATCAACACATAAAAGTGTTTTAGCCAAAGTCTTAAACCTAAGGTCTATACTATTTAAATACATGAGCCATTTCTATAAAACAAACTACACATGGACCTTTTTTTGTAAAGTATAGTGACACTTTTGTAACTTATTTGACTAAATTACACGAATCATCCATCGTGCAAGTGCCAAAATGAACGTTTTGTCCCTATTTTCAAAAATTAACTCGGACCGTCTCTCGTTAGTTTAAAACTTAGACGTTTCATCCATACGGACATAAAAATACCATTTTGCCCTTATTTATTTCTTTTTTTGATTTCTTTTCTATTTATTTGTTGTTTCTTAATTATTTATTGATTTGTTTATTATTAAAAATTGTTATTATTTCCTTTTAAAAAAGAAATGGGCCCTAAACCCTCTTTGAAAACTAGGTCACCAGAAAATATTGGTCAACAATATCATGTCCGACCACCAGCCACCTCTCGCCACCAGCTTACTTCCAACAATCGCATGTAATCAACACCCAACCAAACCAAATTAAATCTGAAAACCAAAAATTGAAACATGAAAAACTAGAAATCTCAAAATCAACCAGAAATCTAAAATCCCAAACCTTAAAATCAAACCATTTCAAATTGAAAAACCTAGCCCTCAAATATGAAAACCCACTTGCATAAATCGAGCGACGATTGTGAATAAATTGAGCAAATCTATGAGTGAGGGTGTGGGAGATTGGTCTTGAGACGGTGATGGTTGAAAGATTCGCTAGAAGGAGTAGACATCGATGACAGGTTCAAACGTGGTGATGGCGGAGTTCAGTGGTAATTATGGCGTTCACTTGTGATGAGGGAGTCAATGGCTTGCAGTAGTGGATTGGACGATCGTGGCTTGGAATATGTAGCCCTCACCTGAAACCTACATATAAAGTCAGTGTCTTGTGGAGAGGATGGTGGGGGATTGGAGGCGATGATGATGATGACCAGTGACTGATTGATCGCCTTCTCAGATGAAGGTGGAGAGATGGAAGGGGGGGGGGGGAGTTAGGGTACTTCTAGAGTTCCCCCAGAAAACCCAGGAAAAACCACCACCACTGGAGGGTGGAGACGATGATGATGACCAGTCAACAACGACTTGATGATCTCCTTTTCCCTTCTTATGAATGTGTGTGTGCTTACGTATTCCTGTCCCCGATCATTAACAGTGAAAAAAGTGGTGGATCATGGATGGGTTGGGGAAAGTGAAGGGTAAGTTTTTTTTAATTGAAAATATGTAACATCCCAAAAATTCATGACAAAAAATTTCATTTTTAAACCATTAAATATAACCATACTTATTAAAATCACTCTATCAAAACATAAGCCATAGTATCCAAACATCAAATCAGAGTATCATATCAAAACATCAGAGTAAACATCCCAGGCTAAATCATCATGGTGTGTACAATGCAGTCATCCCGAGCTATTCCCTTTGCTACCAGAAGTACCTAAAACCAAAACTGAAAACCGTAAGCACGAAGCTTAGTGAGTTCCCCATACTACCACATACCATACACATAATCACATATACTGGGCCCCCGCGCCCCTTCATCGGGCCCCGCCCGGCTTCAGGCTGTGCCTGGAATCAGGTAGGGATGAGCGTGGGACGGAACCAGTACAGTCCCGTCCCCTTCGCGATTTCCCGAAAACCGAATTCGATCGAAAGTCAATCCCGAGTACCGAACCGAATTAACATCATCGGTACCGGTACCGGGAATGGTACCGGTTTTCGGTACTAGTACCGGTACCGGTACCGGCGGTACCGATTCTCGAATTTCATGTATTTGGAGTACCGAGTACCGTCCCGTATTTTTAAATTCGGTACGGTTCGGTACCGGTATGGTACGGTACCGGTACGGGATCGAGATTTGGGACTAACTGCTCATCCCTAGCATCAGGCCCTGTCTGGCATCGAGCCTATCTCGGTATACAGATCTGTTTCTTCCAGGCCCTGCCTGTCTCTGGGCCTCTCCCGTTATATACATACAAATAATATCATATAATCATACTAGCACATAAAGAATCATACACAGTACTATATGCTCCGGTCCTAAGGCCTCGCCTATCATGGGCCCCGCCCATACTATGCTAATGATGAGATATGGAACGCCGTCCATACTCAGCTAGTGATGAGATACGGGACCCCGCCCACACTCACCTCCCTACCAGGCACATACAAGTATCACGCAGACAACAAGTATAATCTAACATACACATAGTCATCGGGTACCACCCGACATCGAACCATAGTCCGGAAACACACATATAAACATTCATCGAGCACCGCCCGACATCAGACCTTAGTCCGGAAAAGAATACATATAAACATTCCTCGGGCACCGCCAGACATCGGACCTTAGTCCGGAAAAGCATACATATAAACATTCCTCGGGTACCGCCCGACATCGGATCGTAATCTGGAAACATACAAATACCGACAGATGCAAGAATCACATAGGCCTCAAGCATAACAAACATTCCTCGGGCATCGCCCGACATCGGATCGTAATCCGGAAAACATATAAACATATGTATACGGGCCGGAATTGGTGCCTTCGACCCATTCAAACAGGAGGAAACTCACCTCACAAAGTTGAATCTCACGGATAATCCTCTGGCTGCTAGCTGGCAGATCCCCGAACTACTGATCTCTCGACTCCCCGAGCTACTGATCATCATATAAACTAGTTAAGTTCGGGATTCTCATAACTTAACCATAAGTCCTCACTGGGGTAAAAAACCATTCTACCCCCTCACATACACTTGTCCCAAAATGAACTCTACCCAATCCTTGGCCCAAAAAGATAAACACTCCTACAAGGCCCAATATATGGCCCAATTTCCAATTGGGCCCAATCCCTTCACATGGGCCTCAACCTAAGGCCCAATAATGCTTCTCCAGTCCAAAAGTTCAATTCCAGATGGCCCACTAAGGCCCAAGATACCAGCCCATGGAAATGGCCCAAACCGCGACCCAAACAACGCAAAGCCCAAATCCGATGAGTACGTGGGGTGTACTCCTCTGTACGCTAAGCGTACAGGCTGTATGGCTTGTACGCCCAACGTACTTCTCTGTTAAGCCAATCATACCATTAAGCACTTAATACTTTATTCCAGAAGCTACAATCATAGATCTAAGTCATTTTCAACGTCTTAATCCATAAAGTCACGGACTTGGTGACTTTACATGACCCAAATGAACCCAAACTCAAAGTATATCAATCTACTTCCATGAAAATGGCTATAACTAAAGCATGAACCCATTAAGACCTTCAAGATGGCAACTTTCTGTCTTAGGGACTCAAATAGCACCAAGGGTGGCAACCCTAAGCCTAGAAACAAATTTGGAATCATAAAGCTCCATTCTTTTGTACCAAAAAGGTCCAAAAA